AATTCCAGATAGTTTTCTGTTACAATCAAGACAGCCATTGCTTTCACAAAGAAAAAAAATCCAAAGGTAACACAGACTGATCTTTCACCACCATCTTCTACTTTAAAATAGTGTGTAGTTAATGAAAACAGAACTTTGCTGCAAAAGGAAAAGTTCAGGAAAAACAACAAATAACTTTGTGGAATTTAAACACAACCATCTTTACAGGACCTGAACTCCAATAAAATTTGACTACAAGATTCATTTTGATTCTACAATATTTCTCTACAAGGTCCCTTTTGGAAGGAAGTGAAAAACTAATGAAAATCTGAAGTCTTTCAGAAAATAGGACATAAAAACAAAGCAAATCTAAGCGAAGTTTATAACATTTTAAAATTAATAAAAAATGCACAAATACATACTACATTGTAATTAGGAAAAGAATGTATTTCCAGTTTCTCTAACTCAAATTCATTAGGAGGTTATTACAATAATTTTATGAAATAGGGTTTTGGTGATATGAAAAGCACTGAACTTTTTATTGGGTGTGATTGTCAAGTAGTTTATATTTAGAATTAAACACTCATCACAGGAATCATCTGTAAATCATCCACTAATTTAAACTTTGAAAATTACAAAAAGTTTTTGTAACAGTCATTGGTAAGCTTTGGTACAAAAACTGAACATCTGGGATCACCATTTCACACTATGATGAAACAAAAAACAGGTCTTTGTTGAGTACTCAAAATCAACGAAAGACTCAACATGTTCACCTCTTTTAAAATATTTAAATTTTATATGAAAATACTAAATATTTTATCTGAACCCCCATTAATAATTAATCAAATCAAAATCAATCAGTGGATGATCCATAGCTAGAATCCAGATTTCTGTTATATCAAATTGTTCTCCTGGAAAGTATAAACCCACCCAACAAAATAAGTGGTTTGGCCAAAAAATCCAGAAAGGCAACTTTTATGTAAATTACATGTCAAGCATGGAAAATAATAACAGCTGTCATTTAGTACTTGCCAAGTGCTAAGCATTAGCAATTATTTCATTTCATCCTTACATCAGCGAACTATTATCACTACTTTCCAGATTTAAAAAAATTGTGGCACAGACAGGTTCAGACATCTCAGGTGGTGCTAGTGGTAAAGAACCCGCCTGCCAATGCAGGAGACATAAGAGACAAGGGTTTGATCTCTGGGTGGGGAAGATTCCCTGGAAGAGGGTGTGGGAATCCATTCTAGTTTTGTTTTATTTTTGTTTTTTTTTAACACCAAAAACATTTTGTATTGGTGTATAGCAGTTAACCCCAATTAATTATAGCATTATTACAAATAAACAATGTTGTGACTGTTTAAGATGAACAGTGAAGGGACTCAGCCATACATACACATGTATCCATTCTCCCTCCTATCCAGGCTGGCATATAACATTGAGCAGAGTTCCATGTGTTATGCCATAGGTTTTTGCTGGTTATCCATTTTAAATATAGCAGTGTGTATGTTACCTTTCCAAAGTCCTTAATTATGTCCTCCCCCCAGCAACCATGAGTTTGTTTTCTAAGTCCATGAGTCTGTTTTGTAAGTAAGTTCATTTGTATAATTTCTTTTTAGATTTCACATATAAAGGATGTCATATGATATTTCCTCTTCTCTGTCTTACTTCACTCAGTATGACACTCTCTAGGTCCATCCGTGTTGCTGCAAATGGCCTTATTTCATTCTTTTTAAGAGCTGAGTAATATTCCTGTGTGTGTGTGTGTGTGTGTGTACACACACAACATCTTCTTCAGAACTACAACAAAAAATCTCAAAATCTGTATGGAGACAAAGAAGACCCTGAATAGTCAAAGCAATCTTGAAAAGGAAAACAGAGCTGGAGCAATCAGGCTCCCTGACTTCAGACTACACTACAAAGCTACAACCATCAAAACAGTATGGTACTGGCACAAAAACAGAAATATGGGTCAATGGAACAGGACAGAACACCCAGAAATAAGCCCATGCACCAAAACAACCAACTAATCTATGACAAAGGAGGCAAGACTACACAAATGTGGGAAAGGACAGTCTCTTCAACAAATGGTGCTGAGAAAACGGGACAGCCACATGTAAGAGAATGAAATTAAAACATTCCTAACTCCATACACAAAAATAAGCTCAAAATAGATTAAAGACCTAAACGTTAGTTGGGCACTATAAAACTATTAGAGGAAAACATAAGCAGAAGACTCTCCGAAATAAATTACAGCAAAATCTTTTTTAATCCATCTTCCAGAATAATGGAAATAAAAGCAAAATAAACAAATAGGACCTACTTAAACTGAAAAGCTTTTGCACAGCAAAGGAAACAATAAACAAAACAAAAAGACAACACACAGACTGGCAGAAAATATTTGCAGATGATGTGACTGATAAGGGATTAGCTTCGAGATCTTGGGCAAGTGCGTGCATGCATGCAAAGTCACATCAGTCAGGTCCTACTCTTTGTGGTCCAATGGACAGAGGAACGGATAAAGAAGATGTGGTATATATATCCACTCCAGTATTCTTGCCTAGAGAATCTCATGGACAGAGGTACCTGGTGGGCTACAGTCCGTGGGGTCACAAAGAGTCAGACATGACTGATGTAACTGCATGCAAGCACGCACGCACACACTTGACCAAGATCATACAGCTAGATTAAAGGCAGGTTGTGGTTGTCTGGATCCAGAGTACATTCAACTAACAATTTTGTATACTGTGTCTATGGAAATGCTTACAGCACCTAAGGTACAGGATAGTTTAGCAATAACACATGAAATCATTTTAAAAACAGAGCCGCCTTGGCAGCAGTAAATGGTTTGTTCAAACATTCTCATAGTCAGAAGAATTCTTTTTTTTTTTCTCCCCGCCCCCAGAAGAATTCTTATTCAGGAACAGATAAGCAAAGATAAGGACCCTTGCCCTTGCACTTTAAAAGGAAGCTGTCCTTTGATTCCTATTCAAAATATGCTAATATAGTTACTACCCATTCTCTATTAGGATCCTACCTAGGATACCGGATATAAATGTAAATAGAGTCCCAGCTGCTCTAGCTATGGGCATCTACCCTAAGTAAGCCAACTTGAAGGTAATAAAGACAGGTGACGTTTTTGATCTTCCAAATGCAAGTTGAAATAAATCTCTGCTAGAATGTAAACTTCTATCAATAATTCTTGTCTCTTGTTCACTGCTCAGATGGAGCACCAAAAAGTGACTGGCACATAGTAGGTATATCAGTTACTTCAGTTCAGTTCAGTTGCTCAGTCATGTCCGACTCTTTGTGAACCCATGAATCGCAGCACGCAGGGCCTCCCTGTCCACCACCAACTTCCAAAGTTTATTCCAACTCATGTCCATTGAGTCGGTAATGCCATCCAACCATGTCATCTTCTGTCATCCCATTCTCTCCCACCTTCAATCTTTCCCAGCATCAGGGTCTTTTCCAATGAGTCAGCTTTTCACATCAGATGGCCAAAGTATTGGAGTTTCAGCTTCAACATCAGTCCTTCCAATGAAGAGTCAGGACTGATTTCCTTTAGGATGGACTGGTTGGATCTCCTTGCAGTCCAAGGGACTCTTAAGAGTCTTCTCCAACACCACAGTTCAAAAGCATCAATTCTTCTTGGCTCAGCTTTCTTTACAGACCAACTCTCACTTCCATACATGACTACTGGAAAAACCATAGCCTTGACTAGACGGACCTTTGTTGCCAAAGTAATGTCTCTGCTTTTTAATAGGCTGTCTAGGTTGGCCATAACTTTTCTCCCAAGGAGTAAGCATCTTTTAATTTCATGGCTGCAGTCACCATCTGCAGTGATTTTGGAGCCCGCCAAGATAAAGTAGGTACCTAAACAATAACAAATTTTGCCATAGAAATAATGTTTTACATGGTAATCTAGGTAAGCTGAAACAGTATTAATTCTATGCTTTACTGGTAAACAGACCTTTAAATTGGAGATATGCAGGGTTCAAACACTTGACCATTATACATATATATAACCTGAGTTACGGTGAACATAAGAACCTAAGAGCAATAATTACCATTATTACAGCTCTTAGAGGGCTTCCCTGGTGGCTCACACTGTAAAGAATCCACCTGCAATGCAGGAGACCTGGGTTCAATCCCTGGGTTGGTAAGACCCCCTGGAGGAAGGGATGGTAACCCACTCCAATATTCTTGCCTGGAGAATCCCCATGGATAGAGGCACCAGGAGGGCTACAGTCCACAGGGTCATGAAGAGTCGGATACAACTGAGCAATGAAGCACACAGCACAGGGAACATTTCATCCAAGGATGGACATGCTAAAGGACAGAAAAGGTAAGGAACTAACAGAAGCAAAGGAGATTAAGAAGAGGTGGCAATAATACAAAGAACTATACTAAAAAGGTCTTCATGACCCAGATAACCACCATGTGGCCACTCATCTAGGACATTCTGGAGTGTGAAGTCAAAGTGGGCTTTAGGAAGCATTACTATGAAAAAAGATAGTGGAGGTGACAGAATTCCAACTGAGCTATTCAAAATCCTAAAAGATGATAATGTTAACGTGCTGCACTCAGTATGTCAGCATATTTGGAAAACCCAGCAGTGGCCACAGGACTGGAAAAGGTCAGTTTTCATTCCAATCCCAAAGAAAGGCAATGCCAAAGAATGCTCAAACTACCACACAATTGTGCTTATTACAGATGCTACCAATCCAGTCCCAACACTTAATGGCAAACCGATGGAAAGAAAGTGAAAACAGTGACAGATTTTATTTTCCTGGGCTCCAAAATCACTGCATATTGTGACTGCAGTCACGAAGCAGAAACATCACTTTGCCTACAAAGGTCTGTACAGTGCAATTTATGGTTTTTCTAATAGTCATGTGCAGATGTGAGAGTTGGCTGAATGTGAAAGAACTGATGCTTGTGAACTGTGGTACTGTAGAAGACTCGAGAGGTCCTCGCATTGCAAGAAGATCAAAACCAGTCAATCCCAAAGGAAATCAGCCCTGAACATTCACTGGAAGGACTGGTGCTGAAGCTCCGCTACTCTGGCCACCTGATGTGAAGAGCCGACTCACTGGAAAAGACCCTATGCTGGGA